TTTCGCCCCATTAACCAAGAAAAGTAGGACACCGCGTGACGCGTTGCAAGTCTCGAAATAGTTCAAGCGAATAAGAGCATACCCCGTTAAATGCCGGGTTCAAGAGGAACTACGCTCCGCGAACCCCCCTCGAACGGAGCGCAATGCTTTGCGTGTGATGGCTAAACTCCGCCGTGTTCTAGCGCGAATCCAGAGTGGCCATTGTACGCGGCGCCGAAGGAGAAACTCTCTCCCGCCCACCGTTTTCGCACGAAACTACTGGGACGCTTTGTCGAACCCGCACTGATGCGATATCCACAGAAGCGTTTATCACAAACTCGCGGGAAATGCATATGTTCGAGAATTCGGCATTAGCAACACCGTGACCACTTCGTTCGAGCGTTGCAAATGTTTCCTACTTCTGTATGGCACTTGCAAAGTATCTCCACGGATTGCTGTGCTCGGCGCAACATCTNGGGAAATGCACACTTTCGAGAATTCGGCATTAGCAACACCGTGGCCACTTCGTTCGAGCGTCGCAAATATTTCCTAGTTCTCGTTGGCACTTGCAAAGTATCTCCATGGATTGCTGTGCTCGGCGCAACATCTGTATCCCGTGCGTTGAGGAAATCCAAGCCCCGGCATTATCGAGTTAAGGATTGCAAAGAATTACCCGAAATATTGAGTGAGCCAAAACATCTTCGCCTTCGAATGTGCCGCCGCGTACCTCGCCATCGAAGCAGGCATGGGCGCGGCGGCCGTCGCAAATAGCGTCCGAATAGAAGTCACGGTATCTCTCNCTCACGTTAACTCGATACTTCCTGGGAGCGAACGGGGCAAAAGGTTTAATTTCACAGCTTAATCGTTTTTACGCCCGTGGTTGCATCAGCATTCCAATTTGATTTTATCTTGTTCCCCTGTGATTTTTCTTGACAACTATTCCCCTATCATTATCTACGACCACTGCTCTGCACCAGTGATGTCGTGTGGCTGGCCGCTGAACTGTCAGAGCCCATAGGTCCTGTTTGTACCGTTGTGTCCTTTTCACGCTTGCCGAGGTTTGCTCTTTCTCCTGCTTGGTTGGTTTCCATATTCTACATCTTGCACAAGTCAAGGTAGCAAACGACGTCATCTGCACATGTCCACCGTACCGTCGACGCGAACGTCTTTGTTANGTCGTGTGGCTGGCCGCTGCACTGTCAGAGCCCATAGGTCCTGTTTGTACCGTTGTGTCCTTTTCACGCTTGCCGAGGTTTGCTCTTTCTCCTGCTTGGTTGGTTTCCATATTCTACATCTTGCACAAGTCAAGGTAGCAAACGACGTCATCTGCACATGTCCACCGTACCGTCGACGCGAACGTCTTTGTTAGACATTACCCGGTGTAACCCTATTGGTGGCGGGTTTATTCGGAGCACTGTACTGGGTCACACGGACATCTGACGATGAAGAAATAGCGAGCCTGACTGACAACCCTGTCTCCAGACTCCTACGTAGAAGTTTGTTCTGTGAGTACTCGTACGTTTCTCAGTCTTATGACTGAAGGATGAGGTATGAATGAACGTGATTCACTCCACTGACACCTACCGACATACTTCGTACGTTTCAATCGTGTCGTCGTGCAAATAGGGACCAAGGAGGACGTCCGACGGCTGCTCCCGGGCTGCAGCGTGTGGTGGCACTCCTGGTCTGGTTGAACAAGCGACCATGGCCACTGAATACCAGCACCTTGAGCAAAGCAAGACGGCCGAAGGTTGGATGATTGTGGTCTCAGATTGTTGTCCCCTTGCACTTTCCTCCTTGGACATTGTGGACCGGACGGCACGTTTTCCATGCGCGCCCACGAATGTGGGTTCGTGAGTACCGAATGGCGTTTGGAAGCTGTAGCTCATGTNAGCAAGACGGCCGAAGGTTGGATGATTGTGGTCTCAGATTGTTGTCCCCTTGCACTTTCCTCCTTGGACATTGTGGACCGGACGGCACGTTTTCCATGCGCGCCCACGAATGTGGGTTCGTGAGTACCGAATGGCGTTTGGAAGCGGTAGCTCATGTTCTTGGGGAGAAGGTAGATGGCAGTCGAAACGACTAGAGTTATTGTTTGGTGTTGTTGGTAAATTCCCGCCAAGGGAACGGTTCGTGTTTTCATACTGTTTCCCCACGAACTCTGGGAAATCGGGGGCGCCAGGGTAAGCGAATGAGGGGGTTGACAATCTTCGTCCACCGTCGGCGCAGGCTCTATTGCTTGGTTCATGGCTTCCGCCAACAGAGGGTTTCCCCCGCGCCGCTCTAGCCGCTGTTTTTGCATGGGGATGGTTTTCAGTAACTATGTGTGTCGATGAGATGTGTTTCGGAACTTTGACGTGACAACTAACATTTCGGTTAGAGTTGCCTTGAGAATCTTCTGTCCGTGCTGGTCTTGTTTGTGCTTTTATTCTGTCCTGTTCTGTTTTTTCGTTTCAGAGACGAGCTTGTTTTGTGTGCTTGCGCGTTTCCCTCGACGTGTTACGTGGGTAGCCTAGGAGTGATGGCCAGGCTTGAAGTTGCCGTATATTCTATTGGCAATCTTGGCACGGTCAACATTGCCGTTGTTCCGGTCTGCTTCCGCTCAAACGTGCCAGCAGCATTGTAGAAATGAGGTGTATTTTTTTTAAGCTATTTTCATACATTGCTTGTGTTCATTCTTAGCCGCTAGTCCCCCTGCCGTTGGTTTCCTTTCGTTGATTGAGCGGAAACCTGCGAATGAATTTTCCTCGTTTCGTTAGCTGCAATCACCTCATCCAGTTTTCGCGTCATGACTTCGGAAGGGTTCGTATGAACGTGATGACACGTCTTGGTTGTCTGCTTCCAGTGCACGCAGTCGACGGGTCTTTCGGTGTGCTTGTCGAAGAAGGTGGAGAAATTGTTTGCTTGGTTTATGGCATAAATGTACATGCTGTCGGCCGGCCGCCTCCATGGTGCCTTCGTTTCCCCCCCGGTGTCGTGCGGTCAGGTGGCGTCGCTGACCACCGTCATGCTGCTGACTCACTCACAAGAATGGTGCCGTTCCCTTGGTGTGTTGGGGGGGGAGAGTTCCAGCGCATCTGGGATCAGTATCTTGGGAGGGCGCTTATCTATGTAGTCTTTGCTCGTTTCAATATCCNTCCAGCGCATCCGCGATCAGTATCTTGGGAGGGCGCTTATCTATGTAGTCTGTGCACGTTTCAATATCCGTAAGTACCCACGGTAGAAAAAGCCGGCTTTTTTTCAATGTTGTCGTACTCTCTGTGCCATCATGACGGGCAAGGTCACAAGCGACTTGTAACTTAACGATGCCAGCATTGAAAACTGAACACATAATTCTGTGACACAAGAGTACACTGTCGTCTAGGTTGCGTATCCTCCATCTGCAAACGTTTTCCGTGCGAACGAACAACGCCGGGGGTAATGCGCGTTTCGACAACTGCTTTTTTCTTTGGCGGTTGACTGGCTTGCATCCGGGGTGCTGAGGTTCGTTTCTTCGCCTCTTGCCAGCGATCCTTCTTTCGAGTGAACGTAGGCGATACATTCTCGATTGTGCCCTTTTGTCATCCACGCTATAGCTGCTGCGCACGATTGGTTGGGTGTGGATGCCGATGTGCTCTGCGTTGTATGTGCTTTTGTTTGCAAAGAATATTATATTTTCCTTTGCACTTTCAAATGAACGTCTTTGGACCGACGCCACGTGCATAGAACGCTCGGCGTAGGGTCCTCTCGCGCTGTGCCACGGTTGTTCGTGGCGCAGGGCTCCACATGTGGAGGGGTGACGGGTTGACACAGTCGAGGTTCCGACAACAGTCGTTCATCTCAATTCTCGTCTTATTTCAGGGGTATCACAAGATCAAGACTGATTGATTATCTGTGTGAGGAGATGGGGGGGGGCACACCTGATATCCTACGCGCTTTTAGGTTCCAGGGGGGACGAACGCTTGCACGCCGAGGACACATTCATTATTTTCCAGTGGATGTTTCAAGAACCTATCTTGCGCCTCCTCCCCATGGTCGGAGAAAATCCGCCAAAACGACTCATCTTCCTCGGTTGTTTTGCAAGTCTGTTGTACACCAAAGAGAGTTCTAGTCTACCTCTCGCGTTTCCGGGCGAACAACAGCGGCGGTGCCGTACGACACATACGAGCCCATGTCACAACTATTGCTTGCGACCAAGCCGCTGCAGTGCACACACACAAGGTAGGGAGGATTCCCAGAGACAACTCCATTGTCGTTTGTTATCGTCCGACATGCTGGGCAAAAAGTGTGCGTCGGCCAGTGTGTGTTGGAAGCAAAATCCGGGGGTTACACTGGAGTTTCTTTTTTTGTGTTCTTTCTCCACATCCCCCGGCGGTGCTTGACTCTCGTTTTTTTCGCGAGCAAAGTCCACCAGGGTTGCAAATAAACGTTGGGAGTACCAGGAACATACTTCAATGCTATTTTCATCGGCAGCACCGGCGGGAACAGCGGCCATAGGGTGCGTGTCCAACAATGTATGATTGATACCGAGGTAGGTGGAGACCAGGAGAGCGGTCGTGGACCGCATCCATCCGTGCTTCTCTTCTCCGGGAGTGGGTGGAGACAGAGAACCCAGCGAGCACGAAACACGAAACACCCAAGCAGAACACGGCACCTGCCTGACCCCAGAGATTCGCCTGGTTCTCGAGGTACCGACCCTGAGCCAAACCAATACATTGCCACTTTGGTTGACAACACACGAAAAGCCACCGAAGTTTTGTACTCCGTACGGTTGCCGTAGCCTACTTCTGATGTACCATTGCAATCGCAATGAATCGAGACATCTGCTGCAACGGCAGAACACGTCCACCAAACAACGAAA